AAAACAAATTATAGATTTTAATTACAAATTATACTTTTTAAAACTCGATTTACTAAACTATAATGCTGTTGTAGTGAAAGAGAGAAGAGTCTCTGTTGGGAATCGAACCTGTAACCTCCAGACAGAGAGACTATCGGGTCAACTTGCATATAATACAAAATATATCGTTTTACTTTTAAATTAAGATTTAAAAAGAAATTCAAAAGTTATCATCTTCCAACAAAAGTACAAGGATTTACTTTTAACTTAAATTAAGACAATTTTATTTTTAACCTAAATTTTCTTTTAAATTAACTTTTTCTCAAGAATTCTCTACAATATGTTTGTTGTTAATTAAAGATTTTGTATTCTTTTTTTGTTTTACTTACAACATGCAAAATAACATGCCTGTAATATTCTTAATTTATATTTACAATAAATACACACACACACACAATCAAACAAAATATATGTATAAAAAAACAACACATTCCTTTTTTAATGAAAAAAAAAATCTTTTGTTTAAATTTATAGTTTTTTTTACATTTCATATTGTTTTTTTGACTTGCAAAGACAATAACAAAAATGCAATTAATAATAAGGGGAGGAGTAGGAGGAAACAACGACAACAAAAGATCAATAGGAAGTTAAAACAAGGAAGAGAGTATTAAAATTCAAACAAACGAATACAATTGTGGGAGTAAGTGTGTGTGTAATAGTAAATAGTAATAAGTAGCAGTAAAAGAGTAGCAGCATTCAAGGGATATTTAACATTTAATAAAGTATACTATTTGTGTTGTTTTTTTTTTAGTAGTAAAAATAGTAAAATTATTGAGTTGTGGTAGTTTGTAGTAAGTAAGTAGTAAATACTTTTTTTTTTCGTTTGGTTAACACCAAGAAGAAATTGTTAAAATAGTTTCAACAAAACTAAAACATGCATAGAGTTTTATGCATTTAATATTATTATATTCTTAATATAGAATATTAGTTGTTGCTACTTTTTATTTGGCAAACACTTAAGAAAAATAACATAAAATAGTTAACAGAAAATGTTGGTTAAAGAGTAGTATATTATAACTATATAGTTTACTAGGTTTTTTAGTAATATTTTGTTATAAATATTTTATTGTTTTAATGTAAAAGCTCACCTAGAGCTGGAGCCGGTATGGCACCATCTTTTGTCAGTACAACTAATCATTTATTTGCATTGATCAAGTTTATTTTGGTTTGTTTTGGTACATGTTTGAAGTGGATAGTTTTTTTTTTTCATATAACGGGTTATAAAATTGGTGTATTTGGTAAAAATGGAAAAAAAGAAAGAAAAATAAATTTATTTTATTAAGTAACTTTTAAATTTACTATTTTTTATGTAAATTTTGTTAATTTAATTTATTAGCATAGAGTTAATGCAGTTTGTTATCATAAACATTTATTAGCTTATGACTTAATTTCTAAAATATTTAAAGTTTTTGAAAAATTTAAAGGGGAGGGGAACAGTTTTTTTCATTAGTAGAAAAATTAAACTTAAAAGTTATTGTTGTAAGTAAAATTTAACATTTAAACTTTCTGTTTTAGATAAGTGTTCGAGTACATGTGGACGTGATGTAATCAGTTTTTCAAAAACTCTCTAAAAATAATTATCTAAAAATATACATCTGTCTATATCCTATAAAAATTGCCTTCATAGTACTGGTTAGAATGGAGACAATAGTGGGCTTGATATTTACATATGAGTCTCACCTAAGCGTTTCTTGAACTCAAAGTGTATAGCTCACTGAGGCATAATCGTAGTGATCATACAATTATCTCTCCGACCAGTTGGACATAATGCCCGAAATACCTCTACAAGAATTTGAATGATCAGCTTATCAAATCTTAACTCAATGAGTCATGTTCACAGCACGAGAATTATATACCGATAGGATATGTCAACCTTGCATTAAGATTTCCATCTGCACTGACAGTTTAAAAACATCTATATATTTTTTTTCTGATTTCTACTTAGATGTAGGTCTAGTTTCTGTTCATGTTACTGTCCAGATATAGGACCATTTATTAGACATATTATACATATGTATATGGGGCCGAATGCTGATCATAAAATAAATGGTCTTATTTTTGTTCAGATATAGTGCTAGTTACTGTCTCCATTGCTTGCTAGATATAGGACTAGATACTGGTCATACTTCTATCTAGATAAAGGGCAGGTACTGGACATATTTCAGACTCGATATATTAAAAGTTTCTAGTCAAAAAAGTCCATATTTCTGCCCAGATATACATAGATCCAGTTACTAGTCATACCTCTATCCAGATATAGACCGGTCTAGATATAAGGTCAGTTTCTAGTCTATATAGAACACGTTAATAGTCCTATCTTTATCTAGATATAGACCGGCCTAGATATAAGGTCAGTTTCTAATCATATAAGGCTTTTACACATACGTTGTCTAAATGTTAACAAACGTGGTAAGTTCACTATTGCAAACAATCCGTTGCCAATAGTGAGCTTACCACGTTTGTTAACATTTAGACAACGTATGTGTAAAAAATTTAGATTTCGACAACGAATTGTTGCAATGTTGACAACGTTGCGACATAGTGTTGTCGTACGTATGTATATACTTTGACAACGGTTGTTATTGAAAAATTACAAACTCTTTGGTGCCAATTTGGTACCAAGCGTGTATATTTCTTTTTCCCTCTGTGTACTTCTGCGTAGATATAGAAGCAGTTACTAGTCGTACCTCTATCTAGATATAGACCCAATCACAGATCACAAATATAGTATCAGATATGTTAGATATATGATAAAATTTCTGTCAAGATAAAGGGTCAGTTACTATCCATATTGCTGTCTAGATATAAGGACAGTTACTGACCATATTACTTTCTAGACCATAGGACAAGTTACTATCCAAATACCAAGTTACTGTTGATTATATTTCGGTCTAGATATAGGGACAGTTACTGACTATATATATAGCGTTAGATAAGTTAGATACAATATGATATTTCTACCTATATGTAGGGTCAGCTAGCAACTTATTGTCCACATTGCTATAGGACCATATAGGACCAGTTACTTGCTACCATACTCCTGTCTAGATATAGGGACTTGATATATTACCAAATACTAGACACATACTTAGGGCCTTATTTCTGTCCAGATAAAGAATCAGTTACTTTAGTCTGTCTGAGTATGAATATCCACAGATATAGGACCAAATAGGTTAGATATATGATCCAATTTCTATCTAGATAAAGGGTCAGTTACTATACATCTCGCTGTCTAGATATGGGGCAAGTTACTGACCAAATGTCTGACTAGATAAGGGGCAAGTTACTGACCAAATGTTTGACTAGATAAAGGGCCATTTACTATCCAAATATATGTCTACATTTAGGACTAGTTTTTGGTCATATTTCTGTCCAAGTAGCAACCAAAAACTTGACCTCTAATTCTCTCTCAATATTTGATAACAGCATCGAGTTTCAGCCCAAATTTTATATCATCAATGAGGCCACATGAAAACATGAATAGTTCGGCATGAATGTAGTAACGCTCTCAACTACAACTCATTGCTCAAGCTCAGACATCACTTTCTTTCAGAATATGAGGCCATGTCGATGAAGGCTCAGTAAGCATAGTATTCCTGGAAGGATTTATTGGGCTATACTTATGAACATATTCTTCTAATATCTACAACATTGAACTTATCTATCTAATTATCAAAATCTAGACTTACATACTTGAATGGTCTCTGTACGGTTCAAAAGTTTATAATTGCTTCACAGTCTAAAATATCTTAAAACAGATTTTATAATCACCTTACATATTGCGGTTCAAAACCTTTAAAAATACTATATATTTTCCAATTACTCTTCCCACTATCGCTCCATTCTGTTTTAAACTTTTATTAAATCAATTTCATAATACCTTAACTTTAATTCTGTTGAAAATAATCCTACTATATTACTTTGTTCTTATAAACTCCCTAAAATATGCTACAAAAATTTTTGTTTAATTTATTAACATGCAACGTATTAAATTTATCTCAATTTCTAGCAATTTATTAAAAAAGTTAATAATCCCTGCATAAATAATCAAATTTTACAAATCGTTTATTACATGTTACAAATATAAATTTATAAAATGAAAAACATAATTTACACTTTTCATGTTTCTTTTCATGGGAATAAAAAGAAACAACCTTTAACGCTGAATAAAATTATTTCGTTGAGTTTCATTTAATAATATTATATTTCAATAAAAACTTTCCCAAAAAAAAAAAACTTTTATACATTTATTTGTATGTAAAATATAATGAAATTACTGACAGATAAAAAACGAAAAACGCAACCAACAAAAAATCTATATAATCAAATTGTAATCATCAAAAATTCATCATTAAAATCAATCAGTAATAAAAATTCTTGCAGGCAGATTAGTGGGAGTAAAATACAAGTTAAAAATAATAAATATTCAATTACAGATTTCAATTGGTTTGGGGATTTGATGTAACTAAAAGATCAAATTTTGTATAAATTTATAATTAATAATGAACCAAAAAAACGTGGCATTAGATTTTCATAATTAAGCAAAAAAAAAAAAGAGGATAATTTTGTTAAAAATTAAATAGTGAAAAAGAAATGAAAAATTTCACCAACAAACACTCACTAATGACCTAACGACCTTATGGAGTGTGCTTTAAGCATTATCAATTTTTTATTGTATTGAAGTTTTTTATTTAACGGTGGTAAAAACTTGATACTACATAACTAACATATTTTCTAACCTAAAATAATAATAGTAATTATATATAGAAATTTATGAATCATGAAGATTAATACTTCATGTTCAAATAAAAAAAAAAAGTTAGTTATGTATGATCAACCTTTCACCTTAGGTTATTTGTTTAATATTTAGTTGATTACAGAAAATTTTTTTGTAATTTAATTTTTGTGGTTTAAACTTCTATTTTATTTTTACAATTTTCTATTGTTCACATTTTACTTACCATTTGGAACGGTGGTCACTTTTTTGGTTTGTACACGTGCCGTTGCATTATTAACCTTTATAGAATATAGAAAAATATATAATGAATAAAATTTTATCAAAAAACATATTTTATATTAAAATAAAATTTGTCAATATTTTAAAACATTTGCTGCTCTTTTATTAATATATATAAAATGTATGAAAATCTCATTAGGAAACATATTGTGTGAAGCTTTGACATGTTTTGTTTAATTTGATTTTAAGGGTTTGAGTTAGTGTGTGTGTGAGTGTTTTTCGGCCAACTCATAATTATGTTTGGTAGTTTTATCTGCAAAATGTTTATTTTTATTTAAAAAAGTTTATAATTAAAAATTAAATTACATTAACTATATTAGAGGGGAAAGGTATATTTAGATACACATACTTATATGAGTACTGAACTGCTGCAGCTGATAAAATAATTAAAATTTAAATTAGATAATAAGTTTTCGGTTTACGGCATTATGTATTTAAATAATATTTCAATGTTAAAGGTACGCAGAGTTAATGGAATTGCAGTAAAGAGGGATCAAGTGAGGTTCATAGGCTTTTTAATGATACTTAATTATATACTGCTGCACTTAGCGAAATAAAATAATTATGAACTAGAACTGAACTGAACTAGATCTGAACTAGAACTGAACTAGAACTGAACTAGAACTGAACTAGAATTGAACTAGAACTGAACTAGAACTGAACTAGAACTGAACTAGAGCTGAACTAGAACTGAACTAGATCTGAAGTAGAACTGAACAAGAACTGAACTAGAACTGAACTAGAACTGAACTAGAACTAGAACAGAACTGAACTAGAACTGAACTAGAACTGAACTAGAACTGAACTAGAACTGAACTAGAACTGAACTAGAACTGAACTAGAACTGAACTAGAACTGAACTAGAACTGAACTAGAACTAGAACTAGAACTGAACTAGAACTGAACTAGAACTGAACTAGAACTGAACTAGAACTGAACTAGAACTGAACTAGAACTGAACTAGAACTGAACTAGAACTGAACTAGAACTGAACTAGAACTGAACTAGAACTGAACTAGAACTGAACTAGAACTGAACTAGAACTGAACTAGAACTGAACTAGAACTGAACTAGAACTGAACTAGAACTGAACTAGAACTGAACTAGAACTGAACTAGAACTGAACTAGAACTGAACTAGAACTGAACTAGAACTGACCTAGAACTGAACTAGAACTGAACTAGAACTGAACTAGAACTGAACTAGAACTGAACTAGAACTGAACTAGAACTGAACTAGAACTGAACTAGAACTGAACTAGAACTGAACTAGAACTGAACTAGAACTGAAACTGAACTAGAACTGAACTAGAACTGAACTAGAACTGAACTAGAACTGAACTAGAACTGAACTAGAACTGAACTAGAACTGAACTAGAACTGAACTAGAACTGAACTAGAACTGAACTAGAACTGAACTAGAACTGAACTAAAACTGAACTAGAACTGAAAACTAGAACTGAACTAGAACTGAACTAGAGAATTGGAACTAGAACTGAACTAGAACTGAACTAGAACTGAACTAGAACTGAACTAGGAACTAACTAGAACTGACGAGACTGAACTAGAACTGAACTGAACTGAACTAGAACTGAACTAGAACTGAACTATGAACTGAACTGAACTAGAACTGAACTAGAACTGAACTAGAACTGAGCTAGAACTGAACTAGAACTGAACTAGAACTGAACTAGAACTGAACTAGAACTGAACTAGAACTGAACTAGAACTGAACTAGAACTGAAAAACTAGAACTGAACTAGAACTGAACTAGAACTGAACTAGAACTGAACTAGAACTGAACTAGAACTGAACTAGAACTGAACTAGAACTGAACTAGAACTGAACTAGAAACTGAACTAGAACTGAACTAGAACTGAACTAGAACTGAACTAGAACTGAACTAATGAACTAGAACTGAACTAGAACTGAAACTAGAACTGAACTAGAACTGAACTAGAACTGAACTAGAACTGAACTAGAACTGAACTAGATCTGAACTATTTAACAATTAATTCTAGGGGTTTAATTTCAAGATTACAAAGTTGGCTCTGAATAGTTAATTGCCTTTTCTAATAAATGCCCAAATGTAGCTTTTAAGATTAACTTTTTATTGGGTTTTAGGCTGTATTCTAATATTTATAGCAAAAAAATCTAAAATAGTTATAAGCAGCCATTAAATATTTGTTGTTATTTAATACCATGAAATAAAATAAACCACATACTACAATAAAATACTTAAATAAAAGCTAAATGAGGACTAATATAAGTTAAATCCTTAAAAGGAGGAAAATTAACATAAAGACTTGGACTAAGACTTGGCACTTTAACGTTGGAATCAATGTAGAAAGCGATTACATCATCATTAGTAGTTTGTTTTATCAATTAGTTATAAGCAATTACAGTGAGTCCATAATTTTTGGAATATTCATTAGTCATTGCAATTAGACAGCCTATTAAAGTTTGACTGAAGTCAATCTTTAGCAACAACGATAGAAAACTAAATACCTCGACAAAAATCTGCTAAGTAATAGTTGTAGCTAAACACATACAAAAAGGAGTCATAACAAAAGAAACGGAAAGTCCTTAAATAAAATTAAAACTTGCAATCAACCAACCAACAACAGAAGTAGCAGCGGCTGTAGCAAACAACAAACTGAGTTTTTATTATGGCCTTAAATTTCACTTAGCAAGTCGGGTAATTAACTTTCTTTGTACATTTTTACCACCATTCCTAATGGAGGCCATTAACACAAACTCAAACACTCACATACACAGACATACGCGCAAACCCCAACCCATATAAAAGACCACAACAACAATAGTTTCCCTAGTAATGTTGGTTAAAATAAATTGAAAAAAAAGGAAGACGTAGAAAAAGCCAGTCAGTCCATGCCTCAAATATTACTTACTACCAAGAGCAGCAGCAAAAGAGAAAACAACAACATACATACCACATATTCGCATGAGTTACTTATGGCTAAAAGCAGATTGCAACTTAGTTAAATGATTTTTTTCTCCACATTTCTTTTCTGTTCTTATTATACTTTTCTATAATTTTGCAATCATTACTTCGTAGGATAATATGAAGAGGAACAGTAGTTCCCTGCAATACAGGAAGACTGTGACATATTTTACACATTTAGTCACTATACTCATGATTACAAAAAGCAAAAAAACATTTGAAAAAATATTATCTACAACGGAGACTATGTCCACCTTTAAAAGTGCTGGGTTGTATGCTATGTGTTGCTTGTGTGTTGTCATCCTCATTTGCTTTAATTTGTGCCATAATAAGCTTTAGGAATAGTAAATGTTAAAAAAAGACTCAAGCTCAAAAACAAAACTTTTCTTTCATTATACCCAACACATAATATTGCCTTCTTTATTATCCTTAAAGTAGGCAAAAGATAATAACAATTTGAAATTTAAACGCTTATGTAAAGAAAAAACTACAACAAAAACTTTTCCATGAATAAGTTGTTGTATCATAAAAAACTGAGACTTTAAAGCTGCAGTTTATGACATTATTAAAAAAAATAAACTGAAAACAATACATTTTATAAGGATTTTTTAAAAAATTATCGGGATTTAGTTTATTAGCTGCCTGAAGCCGTAAAGAAAAAAAAGTTTTAAACTATTTTAAGCTGTTGGTAGATTGTTTGGCATTAAGAGCGAAGCAGACACAGATATTGAAAGTTTTTGGTAGCAGGTTGTTGAAATATTTGTTATTAAATAAAATTTTTTGCTAAAACAAATTAAAAGAAACAAATTACTTTCTATTAAATTAAAATAATATTTTTTAGTTTTAAAGAACTGATCGATATTTCTAACGCTTATAATAAAATTATTATACCTTTCATCTCCTGTTAGTGCAAGTGGGTGAAGCTTGAGGACGATCTAATCTTTCAGTTTGAAAAAAGCACCCATTTCTATTAAATCATTGAGTCGATAATACCTTAAGCAAATCTTCGACTAACTTCATTTCACTTTGGTCTTTATAAGTTTTAATCTTTGTTTAATTGAGCCAATGATTTTAAAGTTCTAATACGATTACCTTTAACTAGTAATTGGTCTAAGTAGTACTAACAGGATTTTGAACATTAAGGAAAAACAAGCTGATTAAACAAAATCTAATTAAATCAAACCAATTCTCAACTCAAGTATTATTTGGTATTCACCCTTTACACCTTCGCTTTACTAACACAAATTAATTTTATATATTAAAATATGCACTTGTTTAGAAAACAGTCATGGGCAGTTTTTCACAAGTGTCATCTGCAAGAAAATTTTAGATAAAATTTCTTTTTATAGAAAATTTTTGACGAATTTTCTTTCTATAGAATACTTTTGATAAATTTTATTTTTATAGAATATTTTTAATAATTATTTTTTTTTATATAAAATTTTTGATAAATTTTCTTTTTATAGAAAATTTTTGATAAATTTTCTTTTTATAGAAAATTTTTGATAAATTTTCCTTTTATAGAAAATTTTTGATAAATTTTCCTTTTATAGAAAATTTTTGATAAATTTTCTTTTTATAAGAAATTTTTGATAAATTTTCTTTTTATAAGAAATTTTTGATAAATTTTCTTTTTATAAGAAATTTTTGATAAATTTTCTTTTAATAGAAAATTTTTTATAAATTTTCTTTTTATAGGAAATTTTTGATAAATTTTATTTTTATTGAAAATCTTTAATAAATTTTCTTTTTATAGAAAATTTTTGATAAATTTTCTTTTAGAGAAAATTTTTGATAAATTTTCTTTTAGAGAAAATTTTTGATAAATTTTCTTTTAGAGAAAATTTTTGATAAATTTTCTTTTAGAGAAAATTTTTGATAAATTTTCTTTTAGAGAAAATTTTTGATAAATTTTCTTTTTATAGAAAATTTTTGATAAATTCTCTTTTTATAGAAAATTTTTGATAAATTTTCTTTTTATAGAAAATTTTTGATAAATTTTCTTTTTATAGAAAATTTCCGATAAATTTTCTTT